GGGAAGAGTCTGAGGCATTAGAGAGCTCTAGAGGGAAAGCCCAGGAACCACAGGGATAGATGGGGGGGGGGGGGGGGTCTGAGTGACAGGAAAAGGCACCCTAGCAGGAGATCAGATTTGCCAATCTTCCCTCTCCATGGGTGATTTTTGCCTCAAAGGTATAGAACCCTGAGTTAGAGATCAGGTACTAGGGTCTTTCCAAGAGCAAAAGAGAAGAGAAAAACAATGCCCCAGTTCCCACCCAACCCTCCACCAGACCAGAAAATCAGAAGCCTCCTTACGCGGATGCTCGTACAGAAACTAAGTTTATTATTTTTTCTTCTTAAAAAAAAAAAGAAAAAGAAAAAGGAAAAAAAAAAAAAAAAAAAACCTCGTTGTAGAGAAGCCCCTCCCCCTTCCCCTAAGGGTGGGGGGCTATGAAAGACAGCTGGGGAGTCAAGTACAAGGGGGTGGGGACAGAGACGATCTTGCCACCCTTAACACTGCCCAGCCATGTGGGGTGAAAGGGAAGGACTGTGATGAGCCCCGTTTCCATGACAACCAGCAGCCTACCCCCTACTTTGGTGGAAAGAAGGGAGAAGGCTCCTGTCTCCCTGGAGGCTTTCCCCCCTCAAAAGACTTCAAGTAGTGGTTGAGTCAGGCCTGGTCATGGAAGGAGCGCAGCCGTGATGGAAAGCCCAGGTGGAGGTGCAGTCCACTCACGTCTTGGCCTTGCGGCCTCTGTGACTAATGGTAGGACCAGCCAGGTGGGGAGGGGCACTGCTGCGCAGGATGCGCTGGTCCCCTTGGTTGATGGTCCCAATAAGCCTGCGGGGTCCAGGCCGGCGGCGTGGGGTCCCATCCCCTTCCTCCTCCTCACCCGAAGCTTCAGCCTCAGACTCCTCTACTGAACCCTCAGGGCCCAAGGGACTTGGGGGCTGTGGGCGGCCCCGCTTTGCCAGCCCAGGACCCCCACCAATTGGGGCCCCTGCCCGCTTGCGAGGCACCTTCTCAGTCTCTAGTGGAGGGACTAGAGACCCTGGACGCAGCCGGGTCGAACGCAGTTTGGGGGCTGAGACCACAGGAGGTGTCAATTCTAACCCGCCTGGCCCACTATCTGCTAAATCCAGGTCATCCTGAATTACGGCCACCACCATGGACCCTTCACTCTTTCGTCCCCGTGTTCCCTCTGCTTCAAGCCGCAGCCGGGCCAGACGGGTGAGGGGGCGGCTTCCATCCTCATCAGAGGAACTACCCTCACTTTCCCCCTGGCCCTGGGGTTGCCGCCGCCTCCCCAATCCACAGCTCTCAAGGACAGAAGAGCTGTCACGGTCCAAGACAGGGAGCTGGCTGGGCCGAGGCGATGGTGGATTCTTAGGAGGTCGGCCCCTCTTCCGCTTAGGTGGGGACGTTGAAATGGTGACAGTGGTAACAGTGTTGGCAACAGTAGCAGTGGGACAGGCTAGCAGTGGTGGGAGTGGTGGCAAAGGGGGTGGTAGTGGGAGTGGCTGTGTCCGACTCTCTAAGTTGCCATCCCCTGGAGAGGAAATGGTCCCAGGGATGGGCAAATCTCGTGCCTTAGGGGGCCGCCCACGCCTTCTTTTCTCCACAGGTGACAGGATGGGCTCGGGTCTGTGAACTAGCTGGGGCCCAAGAAGCTGGGGCCCAAGAATAAGCTGGGGTCCCAGGACAGGCTCTGCAACAATTAGAGTCTCAGCCCCAGAGACTGGGTCAGCCACATTGGTTTTTCCCTTAGAGGCAGATGAAGGTGCCTCATCCACCCCTCTCCCAGCATCTACTGGAGACTTGTTCTTCTTGGGGGGCCTCCCCCTCCGTCGTTTAACAGCAGGTGGGGTGATGGCAAGCGGTGCCCCTTCTCCATTCTCTGGGCTGCCCCTACCAGTCACCCCCAGCTCAATGTGGCGACGAGCTATGAAGGACTGCTGGGTTGGGCTGGGCAGTGAGGATGGGGGAGCAGCATCACAGGCCCCACTGGTGGGAGGTGAGGATTCTGGCCCTGACATGCTGCGGGTAGATGGGCTTCCCGGGCTGGCACTAGTCTCAGAGACTCCAGGCACTAGTGTGCTGGCAGTTCCTCGCTGTTGCCGCCGTCGCCTCACCAGTTCCTTTTCCTCTACCACAGTTACTAGCCGTCCTGGCAGTTTGCGAAGCACTTTGGGGCCTGGAGGTTGACCTGGCCGACAAGCCCCCTGACCCCTAATTTCTACATCAGCACTGGTGCGACGCCGAGGGGGTCGGGCAGGTGATGGACCTTCAGGTGAGGAGGTGGTGGAAGATGAAGTTGACGGGGCTGCGACCTCAGCTGTAACAACTTCCTGTGGCTTCTCTGGGCTGCAGGTTGGGGTGTGGGCCCCCACCAGCTCTTCTGAGTTCCTGTCAGCCTCCAATGGCTCCTGAAGTGGCTCATCGGATGTTGCTGAGGTTGGGAGCGCCAGCCCATTGCTCTCACTCAGACACATGGATAGCTCCTCACCAGCAGGCAGCATTGTGAGGATGGTCCCCTCAGCAGGACCTGGTACTTCCTGCTCTTGACCGTTGGGGACACTGTCAGCTTCCAGGGTTGGACTAGGTGCAGAAGGGGTAAGAGTAAGGTGCTTCTCTGACATGGGCAGGATCTCAACAGCAACTGGCAACAGATCCTTAGGGGGCACAAGAGTAAGTGAGGAGGTCTCAGAACTGGCCATGCCAGCCAGCTCCAGGGACTCTGCAGATGCCGACTGTGCACACAGTTCTGCCTCAGGCCCCGATCCCAAGGGGAGGCTGGTGACTGAGGGAGGGATGGGCACAGAAGGTGGACCAAGCAAGAGAGGAGAGGAAGGAGTTAAGAGAGAGGTTTGGGCTGGTGGTGGAGTATGAGCTGGTGGAGGAGTACAGGAAGGAGGAGTAGAGGCAGGAGAATAGGAGGGAGGAATCTGCAGAGAAGGAGGTGGGGGAGAAGGCAATATATGGACAGGAAGAATGGTTATTGAATTTGGGGATGAAATGGGTATTGGCACAGAGGTTGGTACAGGGATTGGGGCAGGAATTGCAGCAGGAACTGAAGCTGGAGTGGGTCGAGGCCTAGGTGCTGGCCTGGGAACTCGCTCCCTGGCAGGGCTGCAGCGGGGGGTCGTGGTGGTGCTCCGGGTATGATGGGTGGATGTGACAGAAGTGTGGTTTGCCCCTTGAGTCTCAGCCCGGGCTCCACGAAGACGCTCACTAACTCGAGTCCCCAGCCTCTCAGGGGCCTTGGCCTTCTTACTGCGCCGGTGGCTGCCTCCACCACTCCCACAGGAAATCTCATCCCCAGCCCCCGACCCCTCCTCCTCCTCTTGGGGTAGGCGGAACACCTCCTCCTTGGCTTGGTCCAGGTCTTTTCGGGCAGCTTCCACTTGCTCCTACCAACAACAGAGCCCAAGGGTGGTCAGAGAGGCAAGCAAGACAGGGAGTGAGTAGAAATTAGCAGCTTCCCACTCCCTAGAAATACTTACTTCTGCCTGCTTGAGTTCCTCCCGGCTCACCTCCTCCAGAGAGGCTTCCAGGAACTTCATGGCATACCGCTCAATGGGAGTCAGCTGTGGGGAGTAGTAGTGGTGAAGGACACAGACCTGGTGCCCAAAGCCCCATCATGTTTGTTTATTTTCACCAGAGAAGATAAAAGAGGGTCACAAACGCAGGGGAAGGGGTTGTGGAGGGTAAAGTAGAGAACTGAATCCAACACTGACCTGTTCTACAAGGGCAGCAATTTCCTGCTCGGCCCGGGACATCTCCTCATCCTCAGCCCCAGGCCGACTGGCCTCTTCTCCCTCACAAGCAAGAAACCCATCATTCTCATTAAATTCTGCAAGCTCAGCCACCTGTTCAGCCTTGGCCTGGGTGGCCGCACGGATATCCTCTTCATCTTCTGCCCGACACAATGCCTGCAAGGGTGTAAAGACAAGAAAAAAACGTGAGACTTAATGAACTTTAACTTTACATTCTGTGATTTGATTCTGGCAAAAATTTGAGACGAAATTTATACCTAAGCAGGTTTGTAATGGAACTCAATAAACTTCTGGGCCCCTAGGGCTAACGAAACAATTCAGTGGTTCACACAGGATGAAATGGATTTCACCAGGACTCCCACTAGGGACAAAAAGACTGTTTTTTAGAAACCCCTAGCTCTATTTCCTTTCCTTTAGAGTCAGCCTTAGATCTCTAAAAAAAGGCAGTCACAGAAGGATCTGAACATCAAAAAACCTGTAATTCTTTTTCGTACTGAGATGCCTCAGAAGAACATACTAACCACATCTAATCTTTCCTTTAGATGAATATCCAGAGAGCTCACACCAAGCCACTGAGGGAAGCTGCCTACAGCATACTCTGAAATGAAAAGGCACTCAGTAGGGGAAAACATCTCCATGATGCGCGGCACCTATGGATCCTAAACACTTGTCTACACTTGAAAAGCTCTGAAAAAAAAACACAAACAGTGCTGGCCTGTTAACTCACTTGGTAATCAAGGGTTTGGATCCCCATACTGGCCAGCCGCCAAAAAAAGAAAGAAAAAAAAAAAAACAACCCACAAACGAAGACCCACACCCCAAAATTATGATTTAGTAGATTTTGAGATGGGGCCCAAGAATCCTTTTGAAACCTTTCCAAGTGATTCTATTATTCATCAATGTTTGGAAAACAGTGTTCTATATCATGTACAAAGCACTGCTTACATGCATTATACCATTTAATCCTCAGAATTACTTCCTTCTCATTAGCATTTCAGAGAAGTGGAAAGTGAGGCTCATAAGTGTAACAAGTCTGTAACTTGGCTTAACAAACACAATTATTAAGAAGTACTGTTGGAATTCAAACCTCAAACTGAGGACTCCAAATCCTGTTTTTTCCTACTAAATCATGTGAACCAATAAGCTACGTACTTACAACTATCAAAAGCTGACTGTAATCTGGGAAGCAGTAGAAACAGTTCTTTCTCCCTGGACAAGTACAACAGTCTAATGAAAGACAAGATATACTGTAAGTACTTAGCTCTACTTTAGGGATTGCCCACTCTTTTTTCACCTGCTCCAAAATATGGGTCTGCTTGCTGGCCACAGTCTCTTCCTCCTCTTCAGGGGCAGGGGGTACAGATGAGCCAGGTGGCTCCTCCAGAGGCATATCAAACAGCTCTCGGATGGTCTGCTATTGAACAGAATAGAAGGAAAAATGTCATAGTCAATGGAATGCTAGTCTCCAGTCTATAGCTGTAAAGCTGGTTGATAGCTCTTGGATATCATAGGCACCACTGGTTGAAAAGATAGGTCTGTGAAGGCCAAAGAAAGTCCTTTAATAGACAGGAAAAACTCCTATAAGGATAGCAGTTCTTTTTTGCATAGGCTGAAAGATCTTATTTAGTACCTGTTTAAAATAGGCTGTAGTGAAGTTGCCTCCCTCAATGGCCATGTCTCCCAACATTCTCTTCTGATTTGCCTTTTTTAGGATGTTCTCCTCCACTGTCCGTTCACTGATAAGCCTAAGGGGGTGATGGAGGCTAAGTGTAAACAGCCAAATATATCAAGGAAACCCAATCAATAAAGGGAAATTAAGATGAGGAAAGACTAGGCAATACCTATAGATGTGGACATCTCGGGTCTGCCCAATTCGGTGACAGCGATCCTGGGCCTGAGCATCCATGGTGGGATTCCAGTCGCTGTCATAAAAAACAACAGTGTCTGCTCCTGTCAGGTTCACGCCCACACCCCCACTCCGAGTTGAAAGGATGAAGCAGAATATGCGTTTGTCTGCATTGAACCGTTCCATCAAGGCCTAGAGGAAAAGGAAAAAAAGATGGCATTGGATGACTTATCCCCCAAAACAGGTCCAAGGCTTAGTGAGGCCTCTTCTGGAAGCCAAGGCCTGGGAAAAGGAGACAGAAGTTGAGGTGAACCTGTATAGGCTGCAGATGTCTGTGTTACCTGTCTCTGTTCAACTCTAGTAGACCCGTCCAGACGCAAGTAGAGGTGGCCATGATAGGTGAGAAACTGCTCCAATACATCCAGCATTCGGGTCATCTGGGTGAAGATGAGCACCCGGTGTCCCTCTGCCTTGAGCTGCCGCAACAGCACTGCCAACGTTTGCAGCTTTCCTGAAGAGATATGAAGGAGTACAGGAAGCTAACCACAAGCTGGAATGAGGAGAATGCTTAGCACTGGAAAGCTATGATTGAGAGGTAATCAAGGCTTTAGGCCAATGTTTCAATTAGCCTAGGAGACCAAATATATTTAACTCCAATAAAAATAAAGACAATAAATAGGAAAAAAGTTTAACCCCATACATTTTCTTCAAGAGTACCCCTCTTAAGTCTGTTCCTGTCTGGGATCTAACTTCTCTGAGTGTAACTAGGGATAGACAGGATAATACAGAACCATCAGGGAGGAAAAATGGAATCTTCAAAGGTTTATGAACAAGAGACCTTTCTACCACAAAAGTCATATGAGCTGAAACAAAGAACAGAATCACAGGACCGACATCAATAAATCCATGGGCATAGCTTACAGACAGGGATTTAAGATCACAGATCAGAATCATAGAGTCAGATAGGATCTCATGAGGCTATATAGTTCATCCTCACATTAAACACAGAAATAATTAATACGACATTTCCGAAAGGTCATTTTAACACTTTCAACAGACTTTCAATTCATCTATTCTGAATGGTTTCAAATGCTACTAGAATTTTTTCTTTTACTAAAATATGTATTGAGCACGTATGAATAAAAATCCTGATTTTCTTATAGTCTAGGACATTTAGGAAATCTCCAAACATGTTACTATAAAAACGTCTGTCTAGAGTTGTGGCAGAAACTGGTCACTACTGACCAATAGCCATTCTTGGGTAACAGAACCTGATTAACACTGTAGACACCTGGCAGAGATCCCCTGCTCCCAGGGTAGGCAGGCCCCACCCCAACCACAGAAAGTGAATTATGATTGGTCTAAATAAGCCACAGTTCCTCTTTGCCGTTCCCCTTTGTTAGTGATTGCTCTAAGGATGGGCACATGGCTCACTCTGAGCCAATGGGCTGTAAAGCAAAGTCAGCTGGGAGGACTTTCTTTCCCAGGAAAAAAAGAGAAAGACTTGCACAAAGTGTTTTGTCTTAATTAATCTCTTGCTTCCTAGATAGAGAACTGGTGTGCTCCCTGGAGCTATGGTAGCCGTCTTAACACCATGAAGAAATAAGCATGAGAATAAAAAGATAAAAGCTAATGATGGTAGGCAGATAGAAAGACAAGATTCTGGGTCCATGAAGATATCATTAAGCTGCTGAACCAACCACACACCACTGTTCTCAGAATTTCTCATTAAATAATAAATGCTCTTGTTGATTTAAGCCACTGTCAACTGGTTTCTGTTACCTGTAGCCAAATGCATTCTAACCAATACAAGGGTCCTTGCCTTTTCAAAGACCAAAATTAACTACTTACTGTGCAGTCCTGTACCACAATAACCTTTTCCCATAAATCTAAAAACTATGCTGTGCTATCTCGCTTGTTATTGTATACCATATGATTAACAAAATATGACAGATGTTCACAAAATGATCACTGAATGAATAAATGAGTTAGCAGCACGCATTTCAACTTTCATAAAAGTCAAATTCATGAATGCTAAGGTCCCATCATAAGGCCTACATTTCTCCATCTTGCCCATAAGCACAACCTAAAAAACTGTCTAATGCTTTACAGAAATCCCTAGAGACCTCATGTGCAGCATCCCTCTGATATAACAGTCTTGCTACTAAGAAAAAGACGTCACGTTCTGCACTGGCCAATGAACTCACCACAATCATACTGGATGAGTCTCAAGTCAGGGAACTGGGTGCGCATGTTACACACAATACGATGCAAAGGACGAGCCCGGGGCCAGAGCTCACAGGCCAATTGCTCCTGGAATGCTGCCTGACGTGGGGCCAGCCAAGGAGGTGGGTGGCAGGCATGCAGGGAAGGGGGAGGTGCCTCCACAGGAGGCATGACAAAGATGAACCTGTGAAAGGAAGAAGGCAAGCAGTGTAAAAGACGGGATTCTGAAATACCACAGAAGTTAACACCTTCACCAGCCCTAAGCACTACATCCACTCTGAGCCCCAAGACCCACTCCCCATTAGCACTTAGCCCTGCCAACCTCTCAATGATTTCTGACAGCTGGTCTAGTCGTTGCTGGGGTAACAGTACAGCCCGGTGGGCAGCCTCAGTATAAGTCCAAAAGGTGGGGTGGCTGGGGCCAGGAGAACGAGGGCCGATGGGGCTGGCAACAGGTTGGGGCAAGGTACAGAATTCCAGGACTTCAGTCCCATACACGGGTGCCAGGGCCCCATGAGCCTCACTAAGTTGGAAAATCCGTTCCAGGCGTTCAGATCGCTGCCGCTTCCGCTTTTCCTCCAGAGAGTCCTGTGGATAAGAGAAAAAAATTCAGAGACAAGAATCAGTGTCCTCAAGAGTCCACATCAAAGCCTTACAGAAAATCTGACAGTTCCTCCCAGAGATATACAATCTATAGAAACTGTGAGATCCAAAAATACACTATGCTTTTTGTAGTTTTCCAATGAACTGTCAATGAGAACTATTCCTTTCACAACGTTAAATAACTTCTCTGTGAGATAAATCTTCCCTTGTATGGTACCAGAGCAAAATGTCTAAACATTCAAAATTAAGATCTGCTTATCCAATGAGTTTACAGAACGGAAGATTTATGGGGATTTTCCTATGTAACACAACTCCAAAACACCTATCTTAATTTATCTTCTTATGGTGGGTCCAAAACAATCATTGGAAGCCTTCCTCAAATTGCTGACTAGGATACAGAGGGGCTAATCAAATCTACAGCAGGTTTTTCCCAAGGGCCAGACTGGAATGAGATAGGATGAGAACAGCTAACCAGACATCCAGGTATCAACACTCTGAGAGAGAAAAAGGGTAACCTGGCAGTCAGGAAAACTATATGACTTTGACCCAATCCTTTCCATCTCTGTGCTTCCAGTTTCAGTTGTAAAACCACCTAACTCTTCTCTGCTGCACTTACCATGCTTGTAGTTTTACATTTGTACGATTATTTGATTAATATCTTCCACCCACTAACCTGTAAGCCCCATATAACATGATCTTGCTCACTATAATCCCAGTATCAAGCTCAGTATCTGGCACAAAGTAGGCTCTCAGTAAATTTATCTGTTAATAGAAAGAACAAATGAGGGAGCCTGGACTCCAGGAGATGGTTCTGAAAAAAGCACTGTCCCAAATCTCCCTTCCTGTTTGCTACCTTAAGTGAGGGGAAAAAACCATCAAAGCAGAGGGAAAAACCAATACACACCAGTTCCCAATAGACACAAAAGAGAAAATATTTGCAAACCACACATCAGAAAAGGGGCTTGGAACCAGAATATATAAAGAACTCTTGCAACTCAACAACAGAAAGATAAATAATCCATTTTAAAAGGGCAAAGAATCTGAACAGACATTTCTCCAAAGAAGATAAACAAATGGATAACAACAACACGAAAAGATGCTCAACATTAGCCAACAGGGAAATGAAAATCAAAATATTAATAAGATACTACTAAGATGGCTATAAATGAAAGTGTTGGTAAAAATGTGTGGAGAAAGTAGAACTCTCACAGATTGCTGTTGGGAATGTCAAATGGTGCTGCAGCCACTTTGAAAAACAGTTTGGCAGTTCTTCAAACAGTTAAACAGTTACCACATGACCCAACAATTCTTCTCCTCTGCGTATTTGTATATAAGAGAAATTGAAAACATATCCACACAAGCTCGTACGTAAAATGTCTGCAGCATTATTCACAACAGCCAGAAAATAGAAATAATCCGAATGCCTCCATCAACTGATGAATGGATAAATAAAATATGATGTACATCCACACAATGGAATATTATTCAACAATTAAAAGTACTCACATATGCTATAACCTAGACGAAACTTAAAAACATTTTACTAAATGAAAGAAGCCAGTCACAAAGGACCATGTATTATATGATTCTACAGGCAAATCAGACAGAAAATAGGTCAGTGGTTGTCTAGGGCTGGGAGGGATAGTTGGGTAGGGGGATGATGGCTAAGGGGTACAAGGTTTCTTTTTGGGGCTGTGGAAAAATTTTAAAATTGATAGTGGTAATAGCTGCACACTCTATGAACATACTAAGCCGCTGAATTGTACACTTTAAATGGGTGAATTGTATGGTATGTGATTTATGTCTCAAATTGTTTAAAGAAAAAAATAGTGGCAAGCAGCTACTACCCAATCACAGAGCAACCAAAATTCAGCACAGAACATGGGTTGCCACACTTGGGTTAGGATCTAAGCTCTTCTCCCTCTACTCTCTATTTCCAAAAACCAAGACCAACCCAAGCATCAGGAAAAGATCAAAGGCAGAATCAGTGGCATTGGTGGAGGGTGGGGAGTGGGGACTAGGGCTGAAGCAAAGAAAAAGCAGCAACTCAGAGTGAGAAAAAGATCTGGAGGGATTCACTGGACCTTTCTTATTAGTTCCTGGGTTACTCTAAGCTGAGCTGTCAATTTAACTTAAACACACATATATGGAACTATATATATAATAAAGGGAAAAAAATGGCTACTAGAAAGCTCACAAAAGGACGGGGAACGGATTTCCTTTTACTGCCCACTTATCACCATGGAGGTAAAAACTAGAAGAAATGACTATCAAAGCTAGAGGTTCACAATCTCTAGGGAACTGTATTCCATGGTTTCATCTTTCCCTTAGAAGTTCAAATACTTGATGATGGTGATGATTTTAGCAATTGAGAAAAAGCCTTCCTGTCTCTGATGATTGTTTTTTGTGAGAAAGAGGTGAAAGCAATGTAATCAATACATCTGTGTTCTCACAAATTGTGTAAACCTTCAGAACAGCATTTAATGGTCTAGTTTTCACCTTTGTAAAATGAGGCACTTACATGCCAACACTAATTCAACAGATTAAAAATGAACCAAAGAAACCACTGGTAACAAAAAGGGCTTGAACACATCAGTGATTAGTACTTTTAAAAGCACATTCAGTCCTCTATTACCATCCAAGAAAGGAAGAAGATGGATTATAATTTCTCAAATGAAGATACAGGCCCAGGAAAGAGAAGGGACTTGCCCAAGCGTCACTCAAGTACTTAGTTCATACACTAGGCTTTGTAATTTGCCAAGTTTAAAGTGGTATTCTTTTTTTTTTCTTTTTTTTTTTTTTAAAGATGACCGGTAAGGGGATCTTTACCCTTGACTTGGTGTTGTCAGCACCACGCTCACCCAGTGAGCAAACCGGCCATCCCTATATGGGATCCGAACTCGTGGCCTTGGTGTTATCAGCACCGCACTCTCCCGAGTGAGCCACAGGCCCGGCCCTAAAGTGGTATTCTGTTCCATCCACTCTATCAACACTCCAAAGAAACAACTTCCTGTTCCCTCACCTTTGAGGAAGTAAGACTTACCAGATAGAAAGGGGAACGAGGGTCAGCACCACGCCCACCCAGTGAGCAACCGGCCATCCCTATATGGGATCCGAACTCGTGGCCTTGGTGTTATCAGCACCGCACTCTCCCGAGTGAGCCACAGGCCCGGCCCTAAAGTGGTATTCTGTTCCATCCACTCTATCAACACTCCAAAGAAACAACTTCCTGTTCCCTCACCTTTGAGGAAGTAAGACTTACCAGATAGAAAGGGGAACGAGGTGGTGGGGGGGGCTGGCGTCGAGGCCGGGGGCCACTGAACGAGGCAGCAGTGGAGGGAGGGCTGGGGGGACCAGAGCGCAATGTCAGTGTCTCAGGCTCATCCTTGGGAACAGGCAGCCGGGATACCATGGTGACAGGCAAGGGAGTGGTGCCAGATGCCGAAACCACAAGGGAAGATGCCTGGGAAGCTGGGGCCTGTGTTGAGGCTGGTGCCAATGCCAGGGTCTGAGCTGCAGCTGGGCCCAGAGTGGGCACTGGAACTGGGGCAGGGCTCAAAGTAAGTGTTTGCACTGAAGCTGGGGCCAGGAGTGAAGCAGATGATGATGCCGGAGCCAAAGTCAGCGTGTGAGCTGGGGCTGGGCCCATTGGAGAAGCTGGAGCCAGGCCCACTGGAGAAGCTGGAGCCAGAGGGGGTGCCGGAGCCAGAGACAGTGTCTGATTTGGACCCAGTGGTGGTCCTGGTGCCAAAGACAGTGTCTGGGCTGAAGGTTGTACCAGGGATGATGCTGGAGTCAATGACAATGTCTGAGTTGAAAAGGGCCCCTGGGTGTTCCCTGTTCCCAAAGAGAGTGTCTGAGATGGAGATGAGCCGCCAAGAGCGGGTGCTAAAGCTGGAGCTAAGGCCAGTGTCTGCGCAGAAGCCGGGCTCGGGAGAGGTGATGGAACTGGGGCTGGTACCATAGTTTGAGTTGATGGAGACAACACAGGAGTTGGGGCTGGCACCAATGAAGACGCTGAGGCTAAAGGGGTTCCTGGAGTAGATGATGGAGCCACAACCGGAACTGGAGTCTGTGATGGAGCCAAGACAGCAGCAGGACCTGGTGATGGTGCCAGAACTGGAAGAGGAGCCAGAGGTGGAGCTGGAGAAGGTGCCAGGATTGCTGTCTGTGGAGCCGCCAAAGGAGCCAGAGAGGTGGCTAGAGCCTGAGATGCAGAAGGTGCTGGAGCCAGAAGGGAAGTCTGAGCTGGATTTGGTGCTGCTGGAAAAGGATTGGCCAGAGCTGAAGCTGGCACCAGGACAGGTGAGCATGCTGGGGCCACGGCTGAGTTCAACCCTGGAACATGTGAAGAGGTGGGAGCCAACAACAGAGGATGACCAGGTGTCTGAGACGGAGACGTGGCCAAACCCAGAGTCAAGGTTGACGCTGATGGGGAAGCTCCAGCTGGTGCCAAAGACGGAGGTCCAGGAGCCACTGAGACAACAGGGGCCAGTGTTGGGGACACATTGGTCAACAAAGCTGGGCCTGAAGCCGTAATAGGCAAGGGAGCTGAAATGGGGATGGTGAGTGGAGCTGAGGCTGGGACAGGAAGCGTAGTGGGGACAGAGATGGGGAGTGAAGATGACACTGAGACTGTAGAGGACACAGGACTAGCAAGGGGAGAGGAGTTGGGAATTGGCATTGGAGAAGAGGCTGGCCCAGGGAGTGAGGACGGCACATGGAGAGGAGAAGAGATGGTCAAGGGAGCAGCTCCAGGTGCTGAAGCTGTGGAGACAGAGATTAGTTAGCCCTAGGATTCTTTTCCTGACCCTTCTACTACCAAGTCCCACCCTTTCCCTTACCCCCAAGCTTCACCTGTTTCTCAGAAAGCCTTCACTCCGCAACATGAGGTGAAAAATTCAAGGACCTGACAACTTAACATTTTCTGGTGTTTTTTTTGGCAGCTGGTTGGTACAGGGATTGAACCCTGGACCTTGGTGTTATAGCACCATGTTCTGACTGACTGAGCTAACCAGCCAGGCCAGAAAACTTAACCTTTTCATTCCCTCCAAGACTCCAACAGGTGTATTTTGTCAGAGCTCAGGCAGCCTAGTTCTGGGGCTCACTGCAAATCAAGGCTGTATGTTGATAATGATCTATTGTGACTAAGAAACCCTCAGGGCCACCCCCACTTCATCTCCATTCCTGGCAAAAATTTTTGGCCTCAGCCACCTGGACTCACCACTGACTTCAGGTGAAGGACTGTGAACCAGCTTGAGAAGAGGCCTCACCAGAGTGGGCGCGGGTATGGGGCCACGGGCAGTACCCAGAGGTGTGGGTAACCGGCCAGGGGTTAATGTAGGGCGTGGTGTCAACACAGCTGGAAGCCCAGAGCTTGGAGGCCGGGGTGCTGGGGCCAACGAAGGAACAGCTGTCAGTCCATCCCGAGGGGCCTGTCTCACTACAATCTTCACCACGCCTGTATTATTCACCATGGTTGGTGGCACTGCAAGAGGAAGCTACATTGAGGGGAAGGTAGAAAAGAAACAAGAGACCCAAAGGATGGAAGAAGTCCAAGGGCAGGAGAGGATGGCAGACAGATGAAGACACTGATAAGGGTAACGATACTGAGGAAAGACTGGACAGACAACAGCCCAGGACATGCCTGGATAGACCAAGGCCAGCAAGGGCTTAATAAGTAGGAAGGCCAGAAGCCTCACCCTGGTTAGCAGCAAGCGGAAGGCTGAGGCCAGTGGGGGCAGGGGTGGTGCTGGGGGTCGAAGAAGGCAGCACAGAGACAGGGGTGGGGCCAGGGGTCGGGGCCACAGCCTGGATGAGGGCCACATGGGCAGGCTGGCTGATGAGGTGGTGCTGCCCCCCTGCTGACACCAGGTGCACCACATTCCCTAGGTTAAGGGCAGAGAGAGAGAGAGAAAGAGAGAGAGAAGCAGCTATCAGCCAGAGGAGGGCAGAGGCAAGGGCAAGAAGAGAGGCAAAGAACAGAGAGGGAATGATTTCTCTAGAATCACCTCTTCCCTATCTTTATCAAAAGACCCCCTCCAACTATTCCCCTTGGCCCCACCCACCAAAAGCTAGGGAAAGAAACATAAAGGCTGACAACTAAAAACAGTCACAAAAACAAGGGAACAGGGGAGAGGAGAACAAATGCAGGACAGGGGATGGGTTTTACCTACTTTGCAGCGGGCGGGGCTGCCCCACAGCAAGCTGGCGCACCTGGGCACCAGTCAAAGTCAGCTTGTTGCCCTGGATTTGGAAGGTGAGAGGTTTGCTTCCCCCTGCACTAGCCACTGGACGTTGTGCCAGTGAGGCCAACTGCCCGATGCTGACCACTTCGCCTGCTACGAACAAAGAAGGCCTTATTGTACACAGGACTCACCCTGCTTAACCTCACTTCACAGACCCCCACAAAGCACACACCTCTCCCACAATCCCCAGTTCCTCACAGCCTTTCCCACAATTTACCATGGCCCAACAAAATCAGCCTCCATCTACAGCCTTTGAGCTTTCATATGCTACTCCTTCCAATCCCACTAGTTTGCTTAATAATCTCCTTTACATCTTATGGCCTGCCACCAGACTGAGCTTATCACCACCCTCTGCTGTACACTGCCCTTTTACCCCAAATAATTTTCTACTGCTAGGCTTACTATTATTTACTCATCTATGTGTCATCTCCATATGTGAATTCCTGGATGGTTCTTAATTATGATTTACGAACGTCAGATAAAATACACAGTATACTTCATCTGCCAAGAATTTGATACTCTCATGTTCCTGAGCTTTTCTCGAGCTCCCTGGCATATAAGCCTTCTTCCCATCTCAAGTTCCTCCCCAGACCCCTAGAAACTTACAGGGCAGGCGAGCCTGCATGTCGGGAGACAGGATGAGGCGCTGTGGTGCAGGGATCGGAGCTGGCACTGCCGTGGTGGTAGCAGCTGCTGTGGTGGTACAGGTGGTGGTGGCAGCAATAGGAGGAAAGGTGTAACCTGGTGGCACTGTCAGGGGCTTTAACAGGCTAGAGGAGCCTGGAGGTGGGGCTGGGCTCAGGCGAACTGGGGCAGGTGGGGTCGGCTTCAGGGACAGAGTTGGAGTAGGAGGCCGTGAGGTCCCACCACTCAGAACCCCTAGGGGGGACGGCAACACTGAAGACACAAAACAAACACCTGTCAGATACACCCAGACTAAAGCCTTAGCCTGATCCCAAAAGCCTCCATGCTCCCTTTCCAACTCAAACACCACACCCCTGTCCCCCAACCTGGCTCCTCAAACACTTTAACTTCATCACTTCTTCCCCAGTCGGAACAACCTTTCTCAAGTACCACTCATCCTCCTTGGCTCCCTTTCAACTCACCCTGGGGGAGAGGACCACTGCTTGGCTGTAATGGAGGCAAGAGAACAGGGCCAGGGGGCCGGGACGCGGGAATAAGTGGGGGCCCAGCAGGTGAGGCCGACACCATCAGTGGTGCTGGCAGCACTGGGGGGGGCAGGCTGGGGGTAGGCTGGGCTGAGAGCTCAGGGACTGGAAGAGGCCGAACCGGCACAGGGCCCAAGGGCATCCGTGGGCTGTTCACCACCACCACTGTCCGGCCTTCTTGCTTGGGCACTGGCTGCAGCATCCTATGAGGAAAAAACCAAGGAAAGTAAATAAGGAGGAAAGTGAAACAGTGAAAAAAAGGAAAAAGAAAGATGAAGCAGGAAAAAACCAAACAGATTACAAAAGCAAACGGGGGAAAGAGACTCAAAGGAGGAAGAGGAAAGGAGATCCAAGATTATCAGAAAGCACCAAGCAGAGAGTGGGGGGAAAAATCAGTGACAAACATAGAAGACCCTCCCAGGACCCTCTTCTAGTTATTCTCTCCCCCCAATCCCTCCATAGTACTTTGCACCCACCTCACATAAACATTCTAACCTAGCCTCCAACACTTTCCTTTCTACCCCAATACCTTCCAGCCAACTGTAGTCACTTTTCCTAGGAACCCACCCCCTTATTCCTTAGTCCTGGTACCTGTTGACTTTCATCTTGACTGGCTTGGGCCGGGGTGGGGGGTCAGGAGCGGTAGCCACCTCTAGCAGTACCCGACGAGAGAGGCGGTGCCGGGGCAGAAATGTGTCAGCCTCATATCGAGAGACACGACCCTCCAGGCCAATAAGGTCAAACCGACCCATATCTATCCGCTGCAGCAAGAAGGAACACAAAGAATGGTGTCAAAGATGCCAATTTGGCAATGATTTCATGGATACATCAAAAGCACAGGCAACAAAAGAAAAAAATACATCAAACTACATCAAAATTTTAAACTTTTGGGCCGGCCCCATGGCGCACTCGGGAGAGTGCGGCGCTGGGAGCGCAGCGACGCTCCTGCCACGGGTTCGGATCCTATATGGGACTGGCCGGTGCGCTCACTGGCTGAGCGCAGCGCGGGCAACACCAAGCCAAGGGTTGCAATCCCCTTACCGGTCACGAAAAAGACAAAAAAAAAAAAAAAAATTAAACTTTTGTTAATCAAAAAACATTATCAATACAGTGAAAAGGTAACCCACAGAATGGGACGAAATACTTACAAGTCATATATCTAATAAGGGGTTAATTTCCAAAGCACACAAAGAACTCCTACAACTCAACAACTATAATAAGATAACCCAATTTTTAAAAAATCAGCAAAAGTCTTCAATAGACATTTCTCCAAAGATACACAAATGGCCAACAAGTACATGTAAAGACACTCAGCGTCACTCATCATTACAGAAATGCAAATCAAAAACCACAATGAAACACCACTTCACACCCATTCATTTGGCTCTTATAAAAAACGAAAAAAGGGCCACCGCGGGTTTGGATCCTATATAGAGATGATGGGTGCTCTCACTGGCTGAACGTGGTGCAGCCAGTCTCAAAAAGGACAAAAAAAAGAAAAAAAAAGAAAAAAAAAAAAACGAAAAAACAGGTTGGGGCAAAGATGTGGAGAAATGAGAAGCCTTCTGCACCACTGGTGGGAATGTAATATGGGCAGCTGCTATGGAAAACAGTATGGTGGTTCTCAAAGTATTAGAAACGGAATTATCATGATACAGCAATTCCAACTTTTGGGGTACATACCCAAAAGAATAGAAAGCAAGGACTCGAACAAGTATTTGTTCACCCACATTCGCAGCAGCATTATTCATAATAGCCAAAGGTGGAAACAACCCAGTGTACATCAACAGATGAATGAAATAAACAAAATGTGGTATAGACACTGATCAACTTACAATGGGGTTATGTCCTGATAAACCCATAAGTCAAAAATACTGTAAGTCGAAAATGCATTTAACACCCCCAATAAACCCACTGTAAAGTCGAAAAATTTTAAGTTGAACCATTGTAAGTCAGGGAACACCTGGTATATACATATAGTGGAATATTATTCAGCCTTAAATAGAAAGGAAAAGTGCTGGCTGGTTAGCTCAGTTGGTTAGAGCATGGTGTTAGTAACACCAAGGGCAACGGTTCGGATCCCCGTATCAGACAACTGCCAAAAAATAAAAAATAAATAAATAAAAACAAAAAGGAAGGAAATTCTGACACATGCTACGACATGGATAAACATTGAAGACATTATGCTAAGTGAAGTAAGCCATTCACAAAAGGATAAGTACTTCATGATTCCATTTATGTGAAGTGCATAAGAGTCAAATTCATAGAAACAGAAAATAGAATGGTGAATCCCAGGGTAGGACAAGGAGAAAATGGGAAATTACTGTTTAATGGGTATAGAGTTTCAGTTTGGGAAGACAAAAAAAGTCCAAGAGATGAATGGTGGTGATGGCTGCACAATATAAATGTACTTAATGCCACTGAACTGTATACTTAAAAATGGTTAAAATAGTAAATTTTGTTACATATATTTTACTCCAAGAAAAAAAAATTAGGAGAACAAAGTGGTCAGAAAGAAGAAAAGAGTAGGAAAAGCAAGATAATATTTACAAAGTATCTGCAAATATGCCATGTAAAAAAAGAAAAAAAAAAAAAAAAATGAAGAAAAAACCCCAAGAATACAAATATGCCAGGCACACGTCTCAGCACTTCCAAAAATATTAATTCTCAAACACACTGCAGAACAGGCTTTACAATACCTGTTTTGAAAGGCAAGGAAACCCAGGGTTAGAGGTTAAATAACTAACTCGCCAAAAGTCAGCATGGCTAGAAAACAATGGAACTAGAGAAACAATACTGAGGGGTTGAAATGAGGTGAACGGAAAGGATGCAAAATGTCAGACACTAGTCTAAAGAAAAGAGGGAGGGAGGGGGGAAAGGGAGGGAGGGGGAGAGGGAGGAAGAGGGTGGGGGAGGGGGAGGGAAAGGGGGAGAGAAAGAGAAAGAGAGAAAGAAAGAAAGAGAAGAGAAAAGAAATAAGAAGAGAAGGGAAAAGATTAGAAAAGAGGAACAGGTTTGCAGTTTGG